TGTCGCCGGGGAGGGGGACGACGACGAGGCATTGGTGAACAGGCTGCGTCAGCGGAATACGCGGGAAGGAATGGAGGCGGCGGCGAAGCTATGGGTGGATGACCTCCGCTTTTGGAACGAAAGGGAGGGATTTGCCATCGTGAAGTTGATCGTGGAGGCGCGCGGGTATCTTGTGGCGGTGGCACGGGGAAAGAAGCCTCCGCCCATTCGTCGCAGCATCGTCTTGCCTCACAACAGCATCCCGCAGCAGAAGATCGCGGACGAGTCGAAGTTCAATGCTGCGAAGGAGAGGGAGGTGAAGGTGCAGGGGATCGCTTTGCGGGTGATACACGGGTGGGTCTTCAAGTCTCAGAACAGGCAACGGGGGTACCACGCGGCGTACCAGTACTCACGGAACCACGTGGCCACCGACATCGCTCGCGCCATGTGGATGGGGGAGGACTGGCGTTATTGTGTGAGCCCCAAGGTCGTCCACCACACGCTCAATATGGATATGAAGCTGCCATTGTGGTTCGTAGGTGCCGACGTCGAAGACAGGCACAAGGACGACGGCTTGGCGGCTTATCAGGAGGTGAGCATCCAGCTACTGGTGGGGGCTTTCACGAGCGTCGTGATCATTGCGGAGGCGACAGACGGCAGTCGTGTATCGCACAAAAGGTTGAAGACCATGGCCGACGCGATGCGGATGATGCTCGCGGCGACCATGTGACTCATGCGGATGGCGGGTGACGATCATCGCACACATTACGACGCCTGGGTTTTCGTGCAACTGACGGCGAAGCCGACGCTCGTCGCATCCATGCATCGCTACTTCGACGCGCGTCGGCACATCGTGCAAGCTGCGACCGTCATCACCAACAAGTTGGCGAGTCCCCCCATCACTTTGATCGACCCTCCAATGTATGTTCCCGACTGGGCGTCCATCGGTGTCAAGTTCTCACACGACCCCACGCTGTCTTCCCCAATGGAGGTGAAGAAGATGGATTGGCTGGGCACAGGCCCCTCAGAAGACAAAGATGACGGGAAAGGCGACGAAGAGGGAAGCGGGGGGGTGGATGACGCGTTTTCGTCGTTTATATTGTTTTTCCTCGCATGCTGCTGCTCTGCCGTCACTTGTTCGAAGACGGCAGACCCACCATCATCCCCTTCTGTACATACATCATGGGTGGCAGTCCAATTTCGTAGCCGCCGCCGTGCGGTAACGAACAAGTGGGATGGTGGTGGGTGTGGCGTGAAGGGAGGTTCTCGCTGAGGAGTTTTCGGTGGTGAAGATGGGAGAGATGGGAGAGATGGGAGAGGGGAGGGGGGGGGTGGCGGTTGTCTGTGGCGGTTATTTTTT